GCCGGGTGTGCTGTTTCGGTAAGCGATCCCTTAGCTCCGGGGAAGCGAGGCGGCGGCTGTAAGACGAGCCGTGTCGCAGACAGGTGCACAGCACTCCTCATTCCCTTTTATTTTCGGCACCTCCCATGTTTGTTAGTTTTCTCATTCCAAGGAAAAGCCACATTCTCCTCGCTGGACTCTTCTCCCTCTCTCCTGAAGCCGTAAGGACCCTGTCTCTGCTTCCCCCTCAAACAGCATCGCTTTTTGATACATCCCTGTTCCCAGCAGGGCAGCCACAGCTCTCGGGGTCACTATTTACCCACAGACTTGCTCAGCAATGTGGGAAGAACCTTTATTTATTTTCGTTCAAGGGAACCAGCTTTGGGCTGGAGCTTTAAATGGCTTCACTACTGGGTGTCAGGGGCATTTGAAAAGATGAATCCCCTGCCCCCCTCCATAGGTGCCAGTGGACCATATGGACGGGGAGAAGCAGGCAGGTAGAGATATGGAGACACCCTCCATCTTTAAAGACAATCTGGAGGCTTAGGAACTGGGAAGGTAAAGTTAAAAGAGGTATTTGAAGAAGAAATAGTGTCTCTGATACGGGGATAGTTCGGGATGTCAGGGCGGTGAGGGGCTGCTGAACTGTCGACCCATGTTTGGCATGGCTTGTACCGCCGGGACTTTATGGTGGTGATCAGAGCAAGGCTTTCGTGGAGCTTCCGCATGCAGAGTCCAGCTTTCTTCAGGCAAAATGGACAAGAGCTGGGAAAGGGGGATGCTCGGATGTGAATTCACATGAAACCTCAAAAGGTAGAGGCAAAGCAGAAGCTCAGGGCTAGGACTCCAGAAGACACTGGCTTATTTTTGTTGATGGTGATTTGCAGTGCCCCTGGCCACTATACCAGTCTCAAACCAGGCACCCAAAGCAGAGCGCATCTCTTACGGACCAAGTTTAAGCTGGAAACTGGGAAATTTTTCTTAGTTTCCTACCCAACTGCCTGGAAATGTTGTGAAGATAGCTTATCTTGGAGAACTCTTGGTCTGTGGGACCACAAGAATATTATTTTTCTCCGATATAGTGGCTTCCAGTAACACCCCCAGCTGCAACTGGAATAGGTAGAAATGTGAAAAAATAAACACAGAAATCTCAGCTTAGGGAATCTGGAAGTCAAAAATCTATATACCTCTCTCCACACAAAAATGAATACATTTAAAACGGTTTATTTAAAAAGTAAGGGTTAAGTACATTATACATGGTTGTGATTATACCAGTAGAACTGAAGCACAGTGGAAATAACACTTTAGAATCGCAGACAGAAATGTAACCTCAAGGGACATGATATATTAGCCCTTGTGGATATGTGATCCATACAGAAAGAAAAGGAAATATAAAAATAGTTTATTGTTAGATGTACGAGCCTATGAAGCGATTTCTCCTTTTACTCCTGTTGTGTATGAGAAACTAGGAAGAGAGGGCTGACGATATACCTGAAACTTTGTTTCTCAGAAAATCGAATCTGATCCAATAGCAATTTTTTTTTAGGTCTGCTGTTACAGTATGTTATAGGATAATACCAAAAGACCGATTACTGTTAATGATATGGTGATGATATCTGCAGGTCCTGTTGAGAAGTGGGGGCTAATTTGTGTTTGATGCTGTCCAGGGAAACCAGAGAGATGTGGAAGAACAGACGATTTATTTATTTATTTATTTCACTGTCACTGAGTGGTTTCAAAGACAGAGCATGATCTAATTCTGCTCAGATAGATCAGCCATGGAGCAAGACACTGTTCATGGTGAGGAATGCTGCAAATTTTTCAGTTTTGTCAGAATCAAAGTTTTCCACAGGAAAAGACTGATTTTTGGAGGATTTTTTTTTTTTTTTTTTTTTTTACTGGAATTTTCAAATGAAACAACATTTTTTTTTTTTTTTTTTTTTTTTTGCTTTGGTTGAACAAATCACTGCGCTGCAATTTGGTATAGACCATGAGTTTTAAATCACAGCCCCCATTCTCCCAAGCTCTGGTCCCCATGCCTTTGTTCCCTGTCCAGACTCTGTATTCCATGAGCGTCCCATGAACACTTCCCTGCTCCAGCTCCATTTTTCCAAGGTGCCTGCTGGAGAGGGAGCGGATGCTCTGTCTCGGACCAAAGCCAACATCGCGCTCGGGTAGCTGCTGAAACCGTGGGGGAGGAGGCTCTGGCAAAGAGGAACATCCCCAAATGCTCGGCAAGACTTTTTTTGCTGACGTGGTGTAAAAATACCACAGGCACCTCTGCAGGTCTGACCCGGGCTCTAGAAAAGCCTTAGACTTTGGCTGGAATCAGATGGTTGGTTTTAAACACATCCACTGGAGAACGACGATGAGAAGAACAAAACCAATGGGCAAAGCAAACCTCACACTGTCAACTTCCAGTTCAATGTACATGGGTTTAGAAAAACAGCCTATATCTAACTCCTGGTTTTAAAGGGAATGGTTTTATTCTTAATTACAGTAAACACTGATGAGGACTTATTTCTAACTATTAGTTTATTAACACAGTGGGAAACAAATAGTTCTGGGAAATTGCACTTGAAAAATACATCAACTATAATTAGATGTAAATTAGCACTTAGTATGACACACTAATGAGACAGAAGGTTTTTTTTTTTCATTGCAAACTTCTACTTCTATCATAGCTAATCAAAGTATTTTAATATTACGAAGTCTCAAAAAGTAGGAAATAATTTATTGTTTGAAAGCATAAAGATTCTTGTAAAAAAAACCTTTCATCAAGAACTTTAATAATTTTAGAACTCTTTTATGTTGTCCTAGCCGAAAAGTAGGTAAAAAAGTTTTCTTGTCTGCCTCTGTTTGAATTTGTTTTAAAAAGCTTGTGTAACATCTTTCTCCATAGTGTGTTGATACAGAAAGTAGCACAACATTTTCTACTTTTAAATCGTTCCCATCGCTCCATTCACTTCAGCTCTCAGAGTTCAGAGGTTTGAAAAAGGATCCCAGCAGAGTTTTAACCTGAATGGAAACTCATAATAAGCAGGGCTGAAGGCTCCAACCCACCTCTGCCAAAATAACGGTGTCGCTCTGCCGGGCTGAGGGCTAGGCAGAGCTTAACAGCGACTAGGGGAAGACTTTCGCTTAAAATTGAGAATTGTGTCTTGGTTCTTGCAAGGAGAGAGGTTTAAGCAGGGTTCACCTGGTGGGGAGAGGGGGTTCAACTTGCTTTTTGGGATGTTAAGGCAGCTCCTCCAGGATTTCCCTGGAGGACTTGGTTCAACTAGCTGAAAGCCTTGTATCCAAAACACCACTGAGTCACTGACGCTGCGGCTGTCGCAGGATAAATTAAGACTAAAGAGGTTTTAACAGTTTGGCTGAGATCTCCCACCATCATTGAGCTAAGCTTTCCAAATCATGATTTTTTTCCTTGCCACCCCTTCTCTAGCCTTCTCGTAGCAAAGATTTTCCGGGCAAAGACGGCGGGGGTATTCAAAGGAATCTACAGGAATTAGATGCTCCTCTCTCACTGCACCTAATTCATCCAAGGGGAATCGGGCACCTCATTCTCATATGGCTTGGTTGAGTGGTCACTAAAATCACCATGAGTACTATTAAATTAAATTACCTTTGAGTCAGGCCCTCGAGCTTTGAGATTCCAAGCCTCAGTGTAAAAAATGAAAGCAGGAATTTAAAGGAAAAAAAAAATAATTCAGACCTTTTCAGAAACCTACAGAAGCAAAGGGTACAAATTAGTTCCCCCCTTAGGTGATGCATAGAGTTTTCTGTGGGCTCTCTGCACATAAGTAGATTCATCATTACAAAATAAATTAAATTAGGTCGAACCATCATTTCCACCTAAAAGCAACTATACCTTGCACCATGCGGCACTTATTCATAATAAAAAGAGTTTAATAAATATCTCATAAACGGTGATTATTTTTGTTCTATTTTAAAAAATACAAAGTTGTCATCCATTAACACTCAGTTCCCATTGCTGCAGGAAGTTTTGCTAGTCCAAACGCATTAGCTTCTCATTTTCTTACGCACATTGCTTAGATAGCTTAGTTTCCAGTAGCGTTAGTGTTGCACTTGTGAAGCAGTAAGGAAAACAGGAACGCGGTTGCAGGGAACCAGCGGCTTCGCCTGCGTGGGCCACCCCGGCTCAGCCTGCTTCTCGCTCTTGCTATGAGTAGTCTATAGGGGTTCCTGACAGACAGCACTCAGCACCTTGCCAGATCAGGCACTAGGGCTAGTCAAAATAAGAATTCAAGTTTTCTTAAATGTTAGGCAAGAAATGATATTTGCAAATATGCTCAAGTCCCACCTACTTTCATCCTTCCTTTTCTAGGTGTTTCAAGATGCACCCACCCTCTTCTCCCCCACCTGCATTGCCCCGAGGGATGCCTTACACCCAGAAACGGCAGACCCCCTTCCCACCCCATCAGGGAGTCTGTAATGCTCAGTACGCGGGTGCTCTACAGTTTCAGTAGCACAGGTCAGTTTTAGAAAGTGTCGCCTTCAAAAATACTTTTTTCTTTTTTTCTTTTTTTTTTTGAAAGAGGCAAAGCTTATGCTGTGTCAAAGGAAAGTGGCTCACTTGTCGAGTAGTTCATATTCATCCTTGGGCTTGGTTATAAATCATATTTGCAAGTTTGTATTAAGGGATCTCAATATTAGAAAAAAAAAAAGTTGTACAACAATTTTTCTGTAATCCTTTAAAACACACTGGTGGTAAGTCTTTTGCAGTTTCTCCAAGACTTTGTATACACTACAAAAGTGCAGAAACATGAACTGCCTTCATCTCGTGACACCAAGAACTGAAAGAAACAAACTCTGAATAGCTTCAGAAAAAGCTACGAGCGTGTCATATCTTTATGTTGGTCCAGAGGATCTCCACTTGCTACCTCAACACATGCCACAATTAAAGAGGTGAGAGGGTATTTTAACATCGCTCCTTCTCTTTCATGACAGATCCATTCTGTTTCGATATTTCTTCAAAAAACGTGAGGAAGGAAGGTACTTCAAACAGGTGTTGTTCTCCTGTTGACCATGTTGACGTGGAGTCCTTCCTTAAATTCCTTCTGAAGGAAGTTGTGAACCTGCAGAAAACTGGCTTCTTGGTCTGCGTTGTAGCTGGCGGCCGTTGTAACCTTCAAAGGCTCTCTGGAAAGAGAAATTTCGTTCATGGGAATGGTGCTCGCTATCTTCATGCCAACTGGAGAAATGTCTCTAGATGGAGAAGGCTCTGTAGATCGAGAACTGGATCTGGACCTCCGCCTTCTGTACCTATAACTTGGCATCCTGGCATAAGGAGAACTGGAAGAAGTCTTAAGGAATTCCCTCTTGGTCTTAAACCTCAGCTCTTTGTTCTTCTCAATATAAATGTTCACAGCCAGAACACCTATGGTTTCAGCCACAATGAAAGACAAGGCTCCAAAATAAAAAGACCAACCATAGTTGTAATGGTTCTTTTTGTCCTCATCTCGCTTGTCACTTGGGTCACCTGCATTGCTTGATATGTAGACAATGATCCCTATGATATTACTTAGTCCTAGAGAGAGAGAAACATAAATCAGTGGTTATGTGGCTGGGAAGATAAAATTCAAGCCACATTACTTTCTGGACCTGAATGGTTCAAAGATTATGACCAGGAAATTTTATTACAATTATTTACTCTTTGATTTATCTCAAGATTTCATTTATTCTTGAAAACCAAAGACTAGATCTGCAACTGGGTCACATATGCTCACATGCATCCCAAAATATTC